AAATTTTAAATGGCCAGTCTTTGCGAACGAAGAACCGGGGAAGGTCTTTCCACCTTCCAGCCTGCGCATTGGATTTTTTAGGTGAGACACAGTGTGCGCGGAACTGAGCCCACCCTGTAATCCTGAGGTTCATCTGCCGGGGCCAAGCACGCTTGGACGGTGGCAGCGAGGTCCTCAGGACGTAGATGGATTGCCTTACAGGGCTAACGAGCTCCATCTGCCCGGGGAGTGTCCTAACCGGGAATTGAACCCGGGTCTCGGCAGTGACAGCGCCGCAGCTTAACCACTGCACCAGCAGGGGCACTCCATTTTAGCATAAACTACATTGATAAATACACAATTCAACTGTTTCACTATTCAATCACAGCATATCTTTAATTACTTCCTTTCTCAAGTTACAGTCTAGAACTTTACACACTTCAGAAATCAAGCTTACAATTCTGAGCTGCATGAATCACTTTCTTCCTCATCCTAAATGAAGGAGCTACAGATAATAAATGAAATTTAGTGTTGTGCCTCATCAGGGAGATCAGCACTGTCCTAAATCTCAGAATAATTAGACATACCATTATCAACCAGTTTAATGCAGCCATTTATTGAAACAAATCAGATAAGTTCTGCTAAACTTGCTTTCACTAATTGTCAAATGGCACCCATAAAGGTATTTAAAACAGAAGTTGGCTTTTCATTTACCTGTGATGCTCATTCTCTTGCAATAAGGATACTTGATTTTTCTCACACATAATTCTCAGACACTAAATTTCTAATTATGATAGCTACATTTTGTTTACAAACTGCACAAGTCCTCAAGGATGCTTTACAAATTGTTAAATTCCATCTGAAGATAAAACTGAAGAACGTTTCTAGTACATAAAATAATCATGCACTATAAGACTATTCCTTCCTACCAATTCTATATATGCAAAATCTCTTTAGATAACTCTCATTTCTGTGATAAACATAAAAAAAGCCTACAAATATGGAGTGCATAAATTGGATTTTAACTTAAGATTGTGGGAGGAGAGGATTCCTTGGGTTGTGCTTTTATGTGCATACATAGTATAGATGCACATGTACAGGAGGACATCACCCAGACTGTACAACTGCAGTTTCTCTTGGTATTCCCTTCACAGAGTAGCAACTCTCTGCATTGGTACTTGGCCAAGAGACACCCTGAGAAGTAAAACTGAGACAAAGAGGGCATTATCATGGGGCAGAACACTTATCAGACACCTGCCTCTACTATCTTTTTCCTTCCAAAAACAGGTCTGTCTGAAGCAAACGTTACATCACAGGTCCTCTTCTCTGAAACAAGACACTTGTTTGCTCTCTGGCCAAGAACATCCAGGCATAACAGGCCAAAAATCTCAGGTTTCAGCCCTCTAAGCATTTGGCACAAGCTCTTTGCAGTGCTACATTTCAACTGCTGCTGCCCAAACCTTCTCCGCTGGTTTCAATAGACCAGATAAACCAGCAGCACAGAAACACAGCTGCGCCAGATCTCAGCACTGAGCAATAAGGCAGATCAGGCCAACCAAGGGTTGAGTGCGACTTCAAATTTTTACACTGATGCAATGGAAACAAACTCAACTCTAGTTAGTCCTTTCAGGATAACTTGAATTTCCATCGACACACATTGACATAGTAACTCTGGCTATGCTTAAATGTTGTTAGAATAAACTCTGTAGTAACAGGCAAGGCAAAATACTGATTTTACACTGCAGTAGGCATAGTTCCTTTTATACTTTCATCGTTTACTCTTCTCCTTGCATAAAGGCTCATCTTTCCCCAGAGAGATGTTATAAAATTCAAGCTGCCTGAATTGCTAATGGACTTATTTCAAACTTAATTAGTTTAATTTCAGAATCTGGTCTTCTGCTACATCTTTATCTGCTAGGAGCAGATCTGGAGGGAGAATCAACTAACTATACCCGTTCCAGAATTTTTATTGGTGTTTTAACTCCGCAGTAGGGCTGAATGCCTGTTTGTGGGTGGTGGGCATTAAGTGCAACCCTAGAGCTCATCTTCTGTGCAGTTTCTTCTTAAAGGTGGGCAGTTCCTCTGTTTTCAAGCAATCTCACAATGCAATCCAGCACAAAATATACATGAAGGATCACATTTGCTTTAAAGGTACCCCAGTCATGCTCTTAAAGACTAATGTATACACACCCTGTAACTCCTCCAGACTCCCCCTTTTCTTGCAATACTGAAGTTCAGTGGTAAAAGTATCAAGAAAGTTTCTCTTACATTTAAGAGAGCCTTGAATTCTCTTTTTTTTTTCCTATTTACACCCAGTAGTCAGTAAAATTTTCAGCACGTTCAAAGATAGTCCACTTATCCCTCTTAAAAATGTGGAACTGTTCACAATCCTTTCAGTCATCCTGAATTTTGACCCCTGTTACTGAAGTTTTGACTGTTTGCAAATCTCTCTGCTCCTTTACAGCCTGAGGCAATCCAAGACAGTGCTCCCAGTGTCAAAAGAGAATTTCCTGGTTGTGAACACATATTCAGCAAAAACATCTTTCTATAAACCTCTTAAATAGGTCAATTAGTGCAAGAGCCACCACTTTTGTCTCAGTGGAGTCCCCATTTCTCTTTTACCTGTGCCTAGCAAATAAAAAGAGATCAAATGAGTAATTTAAAAGAATGATATTTTCCTCCCTGACTAACATCTACAGCCTGTAACTGCAGGCATCAACACATTCTGCTATATAATATCAAGGCAGATTAGTTAGTAATGGGAATAGTTTAAATTAACCAGATTTTATGTAAATACTAAATTGTTTTCCTATATGAGACCAACCATCTCGGAAACATTTAACATTATCAGCATTATTTAAAAAATGCTTGCATTTAAAAAAACCCGCTATATTTAACAAGTACATTTTTTTGCTAATTGCCTTGTCTGATAAAATTTTAAAAAAAAATTACATAAAATATTTGCTTTCCAAATCTAAAAGTTATTATTGTCATGGTTTTATTCTATACCAGTATGACTAACATCCAGCTCCAAGTATCTACAAGATCCTTGTATTACGTTCCACAAAATGCATCTAATAATCAGAGGATCCTACTTCTGACTCAAATAATTTTTCTATCCCAAAAAAATACAGTGTTCTCTTTTCTCAGAGTACTTGTTTTAAATGTGAAATGTTCTTCAGAGTTGCTCCTTCCACAATATCCACAAGATGTCACCATTGTAAAAGAAAGAAACCCCATGTTGTAGAAGGAAATTCCAGGGTTTATGTTCTGAACCATAGATTTCAGTTATTATACTTCCAAATCAATTCAGTTCAATGATTTGTTGTTATATAACATAGGCATTAAATGTACTCAACAAAAAAAAAGGGGAAATAAAACAAAACATTAAACTCTTTTCAAAATCACAGAGAGCAAGACCCCCTTGTCATTGGGTCTGAATTACTAAACAAAGAAAAACTTGTCAGACAGCAGGACCAGTAAAATAAGTAGAGAAATTTATGATTCCAGCATTGCAAATGACCTTCACAGAAGATACTGTCAATGTAGAAATTATAGAAAATGTAAGTGAAAATAAAGAAAGAAATAGATTGGAGAAGCAAGTAGTCTCCCAAAAACCTTAAGGAAAGTTTGGTATTCTTTTTTATATAGTAAGGAAATACAATTATTTATCCAAGCCAGCTCATCTGTGACAGAATAAAAAAGAAAAATAATTTATAACTATGTAGGTTCAGTGAAAATCCAAGGAACAATTAAGAAAATTATATCATCCTGTGCACTGCAGGAAAGATTAAGAAGCTAGTATGTACACAAATGCTAACTGAAAGGAAGGTACTAACAGAGGAAGTCAGACTTTTAATTTTATTTTGTGCTCAAAGCTTTTAAGGAAGTTTTTGGCGTTGTAACTGAAGGCATAGACTAAAATAGTTTCTTTTTCTTTTGTGACATTTCCCTATTTTGTACACAGGGATCTGAAACTGCAAGGAATCCATGCACAGATAAAAGGATGATATTCTTGCTACAGATTCTATTCAGAACTTCCTTTCAGAGATCAAGCTTTCAGGACCTTTTCGTGCACTCTAATCCTGGAAGGTTCTCAATAACGAGTCTACACTGTTTCCATTCAACGACCATATAGCTAAACCACTTCCCTTCTGTGGGTGCACTGACTGCCTTTTAATGAACAACTCATTAATTATTAAGAAATGTATTAAATCTTATCATGTCTTTGGAGTAACAGGTGTGGCAGCTAATAGTAGCAAAAAAAGTCGTTTCCTTTGACATGCAAAAAGAAACAGTAATGAAACAGAAGTAGAGGCAGGAAGTCATAGGAAGAGGGCAGATCAGATAAGTAATCTGGAGGTATTTTAATGTTTCTGTTCAGAGAAGAATGGCAATTTCAATTCCTAGCAAGCTAATCCGATTGAGACTTGTAAGAGAAGCGGTAAAGGATAAAAACAAAAACTCACAAACATCAAGCATAATTATAGTCAGTGAATTAAACATCTGGGATCTTAAATAATTTATCTGTAATGAGAAACAATTATTTATGGTCCTGGGGATAAAACTACAGCACATGCTTAAAGTACATCCATTAGTCCACAGTATGTGTCCACACCTAACTCTTGTGCTGTTATACAAAAGCAGTTTACCCTCCTTTTCCATTGAGAGGCTCACACAAATAATATCCAACCAAAAACCAGACAGTGGATACTCACTTCAGGAAGCACCAAAAATATGATGAGATGATAGGATATTAAAGGAGGGGGGAATAAAATCAAATCTATCTAGACATTTAAAAATAGAATAGAATAGAAAACTAGGCTGTGGAGGAATTTAGTCTTCAGAAGTGCTCACAACTCTCCGGTAATTATGTCACTATATCCACAAGACAATTTATTCCAGAAACCAATATTTCATCTGAGTTCATTCTTTCAAGATGCCAACGTGCATTCTACATAGGATGCATTAAAAGCAGATTTTTTAATAGACTGACTTGATTCCACATAAGCAAACCTTACCTTGCCAGCTGTCATTGCAAACACACAGCTTCTCCCCTGTCAAATCACAGTACCCATGGTCTGGGCTGCCACAGTTGGCTTTACAGTATGGAATGTCACAGGCTTCTCCTTTCCAATACTTGTCACACTCACAGTACACCCGGCTCGGGGCAGACACACTGGTTGTGCACTTCCCATGCTCGGAGCAGTTATTAGGGCAAGAATTAATTCTGGGGAGAAAAAAAAAATAGTAAAATAAATGAAATGATGAGTCGAGAGCTGATGACAGTGGTTTTATCTGACAGTGCTGCAACAACATTTGGTAGACAAAGTATTTTTTTACCATGAAGAATTTCTGTTTACTGATAAAACACAAGCCTAACGATGATTTTACAGGCAAATGAGTTCAAAAGGTGTTCATCCAGGTTTGCACACAGAGTCTGTGATAAAGCCAGGGTCACAAATACCTTGCACTGTAACAAGTATTGACATTAAGCAGGAGGACAGGCCCTGCCTAGACAGATCACCACCTATTTTTTTCCTGTGTTCCAGTATCAGCACTCTAATCAGTCCCTTCAAATGCTAATTATGTCTAGGAACAACCCCACTCAAAGTGAATGAGCTTAAACTCTCCACCACAGGCTTACATTTAAAGGGTTTTTCTGAGTGGCTTTGGTCCATACTATAAAACAGGATTTCTTAACATCTGAGGGGAATAAAATAGGAAAAACAAAGTAAGGAAAAATACAAGATGCAAGGCTAATATCCCAAAACTATCAACAGGCTGCGCTTCATGCTTTGTAGCATTAATAATAGAGCCACCTTAACTCTGCCTCCTTAACTCTGCAGTCAGAGCTGCAAAACCAAGAAAGCTGAGGCTGAAAGAAGTCTGTGACTATTATGGGAGTTAATGTTTCTGTGATACACCCTACCAGACACTGAGATCACAGGCAACTGGACTGCAAAATTAAGCAAAGTGGTTCCAGAAATGCAGGCAACTCCTTGGAGATGAGGGGAGATGGAGGTCGTTGGAAGTCTGCGGGTCCAAGAGATTGCAGGAATAGGGTCCCAGGCAGTACGTGCCTGCTGAAGCCCAAAAAGGATTTGAAACCTTTTCTGATGACTCACAGCAAAGGGTTGGGTTGAAACTCAAAATAAGTTGTTACTGCATAAAAACTGCTGATGATAACACAGACCACTTCCTGTAGATGTGAGATGGGTACTATTCTCAGCCTTCCTTGCTCTTTCTGAATAAAGAAGGAACTGTTAAAAGCTAGCAAACGATTGTCTGAGGCTGGCCTTGACAAAAAGTAGTTGTGGTAGGATCGTCAGGAGACGTGTTTTTGTTTTCTAGACACTCACATCTCAAAAGCCTGATTCTGTTACACTACTGAAATGGAAAATCCCACATCTGAACTGCACACATCCTGGGGGTTTGCTGGTAACACACGTGGCATTAAAACCACTGATGGCATTAACTGCTGCACATCACAACTGTGAGGAACCTCTCCCCCACCTCACACGGAGAGTGTTCTGCAGGGACATGAACAGCTCAGTTTTTCCAGCAAGAAGGACACCACTGAAAGTAGGCAAATTCCCACTCCAAGAGGTTCATTAAGGATTCAAATGAAACGAGAAAAAATGGATCAGCAGAACTGGAAGCAAGACACCTGACTCCAAGGAACAAAGAATTTACTCAGACTGTTCTGGGGTGACTCCTGTTGTTTGCAACTGTCATGGTACTTTAAATCACAGATTTTTGTGCTTCCCAAAAAAAAGGGAGTACAAGCAGTCCATCAAGATGAAGTGGAAAATCAAGGAAAGAAAAGGGTAATAGAGTGCAATAGATCAGTGACAGAAACAAAGTTAATGCAGTCATAAAATGTAATTGTAGATACTTCTTTATCATAAAAATCATTACTGTTGGCTTATTAAAAATATATATTTTAACAGTATCCATTGCAACAGAAGGAACACAAGATCAGAGTACATAAAATTTCATGAGTTATATATGTAATGAAATTAAAAACTAGCAGGTTTTTTAATTTATTTCAAATCTTCCCAAAAAATTAGGCAATGATATGCAGCATGCACCACATTACCAAGTAAAGAAAGAATGCAGAGCACATACTCTCATTCCTTAAGAATGCCATGTCATATTGCCATTTGCTCCCAAGACAAATAAAAAAAAGCGCAATAAAAGCTTCAGGGATAACTGAAAAATGTATCTAATTACAGCAGAGAAGTCTGCCAGGTGATTGCATTTTACTGATGTCAACTGACAAAAATTAAAAATACTCAGTCTTCTGGACTGCCATTTCCAATGCAATATATTCAGTGAGGTTTCTTAAACTCTGAATAGCCATTTATTATCTGGTCAAAGGTAGGCAAGCTGCAAATTACAGGAACAATCTTTCCACAGATAATTTAACAAGTACCTCTGCCAAGAGCAAAGCACAAATGGTCAGAAGCACAAATAGGAATTTTAAATTAATAAAGAACGTGGAAAAAAATAGTACATGTGCTTCCACATGAGAAATGCAGTGCTGGCCACCACATCCCAGTAACTGGTATTTCAGAATCTGAAGGAATTGAGAGAAAGGAACAGGAGTATCTTCAATCATGGCAAAACTACCACATAAAGAAAAAGGTCCAAGCAATCCCCTCTTGACCTGAAGTATCCAGTCTGAAGAGCACTGCATTATGTGTCACAAGCATGTCCCAAATGAGACAGAAATCAAGATCAACAGCTGGTACACAAAGAAGGAAGAGGCTCAGACCCATTGGATGCATCTTTAGAGCTGCTGACACGGGAAAGGAGACTGGAATAAAGCATAATTATATCAGATTAGATTCTGCCATCAGAGAAACTAAAAGACAGTGCAGATAAGAACTGTGAAGGCAGAATGAAGGTAGACTGAGATGGAAAATGGGAAGGGAAAGCACCTGAGAAGTAGAGAAGAAAAGGAAATAAAATCTTTGTGTCTGGCACAAAAACCAAAGCGGAATTTCAGTGGAGATTTCATAAGCCACAGAAGTATATTCAGCAAGAAAAATCTTGATCCTAGTTCAAGAGAAGGGAATTGACATGACAGCAAATATAATCTCCCTTCTATCCCATATGACAACTACGTGTGTTGGATAAACAGTGGAAGGGATACGTTTTAGTTCCATATGGCACAGAAAAAACACACCCTTGGAATGGCCATGTGGCTTCACTCAGAACAACATACTCTATCTCTGGGAATTTTTTCCCCTAACTTATACCTTAATAACTTCTTACAAACCTGGTTCCCTGGTTTTAGAAACACACCACTAAGTATCGCCATTATGCCACTGAGAAAACAAAAGTCATCACACGTTTTGAAAATACTTACGAATAAAAAATGTTAAACCCTGTTAGGTTATAAGCAGCATCACTAAAAAAGTGGAGCAATGCATAGCCAGATGTAGTAACTACTTCAGGAACAGTTTCATTTCCACGCACTTCAGGGACTATTAGACCACTGGAAAAGAAAATGGGAAAAATGTTTATAAGCAATCCTTGGGAGAGGAGGAGGGGAAAAAAAAAAAAAAAAAAAAAGGAAGGAGGGAATTAGCTATTCTGATGGTTAACTATATAAGCAAAATAATGCCTAAATATAATTTCTGAACTTCTTCTTCAAAAAAAAAAGTCATAAAATATGTGTAAAAAGGTAGGGGTTTCCTGTGTATAAACATTAACACTCCATGCAGTGTTAGCTGTAAGTACAAGCCACAAAACAGATTTATGCTCTGATCACCTCACCAAAGATGTAATGGTTTGGAATTCATCCTAATACAACTTCACATACATATTCCCATAATATTAATAAAAGAAAGCAAGCTAGTTAACTTATTAGAGCCTCCAATGCTGTTTTTTCCCCAGTAACTAAAACTTTCCATACTTAGACTAAAAGATGAATAAATACACTCACCTAAATACAGCTATTAAAGGTGCATATATTGAATCTCCATCATATACATACATATGGTCCCAACTACATTCTGTGGCAAAGTGATTAAATCTTAATCTTAGTATCGCATTTGGGCTGAAAAAAATAGAACATTGATGTAAAACATTATTTACAGAGTTACTGAGTTCATGAGATAAAGAACTTACAGGAAAATTGATCATGCCAGCATAAGTCTATTTAAACATTTTGAGTAATAATAATAACTGAACATTTAAAGGTGTTAAATAACAAAGGGCAGGCAACCATTTCACTTGATCTTCAAAAAATTTAAAATAACATATTCAGTTTAAGTCTAATAATCCCTAGAGTTCATAAGAGACTAAAGTTCACCAGATTTTATCAGTATTCAGAACCGCAAATTTAGAGCAATTAAAATATCCTTTTTTAATATACTAGCTTTACTTTACAATGTCAGGACTATGAAGTTTAAAGAACGTTTCAAGAAAAAAAAATTGACCTACACACCCTCGTGCCAATACTCTACTAGTTATTGAAAATGTTAGAATACAAATCTAAAATAGCAAAAAATACTAGGGCAAATGCCTGCCCCCAACAGCTTTCCCAACACCTGGGAGTCCAATTTCACTGATTTTTGGCTGAGATCCAAATGGATCTGCAAACTTTCTGAAAGGAGAATTCTCATGTATTGCAAAATTACCAATATATATTCCACGAAACATAATGATTGTTTTCTTTTCTTTCTCCCTACTTCTGACAGCCTTGAGTGCAATTTGTCAGCTTGCAAAACGTGGGGTTTTGTGTGTGTTTTTGTTTTTTTTTTTGTGACAGGTCCTTTGAGAGAACTCTCTGTTCATTTTTTAAGACAGGTTATTTTATGTATGTGACTTCCTTGTGCGTTAACATTTTGCACTGTGTTACTGGCTTGCTTTACTCTCTCACATACTGTGCAGCATATTGTGTCCTCCAGCAACACACTCCACCATCTCCTGTGAGGAGGAGGAATGGAGAGAAGATCAGCTTCAAAGCAGAGTTTGCCTGAGCTCCTGAGGCGTGTTTCCACTTCAGCACAGTGTAGTGCAGGGCAAACATTCCTGAGCCAGCTTGAGTACAAAGGGAAGCCCAGCTAGGGCAGAAAGATATTCAAGCTACAGCCTGGTCACCTGGATACTGAAGCTTCTATTTTGATAATTTTGCAAATTATCCGTACTTCATCGCTGTTGTGCTTAAATTATTATCTGCGTATGAGCAGAACAAAATTAGATCAGATAATTTACTTTTAACTTCACTGAACTTTTCTTTTTTTTTTTACTTTACTTTTACCTTTACTGAACTGCAGTGAAGGGGAGATACCAAAGGTAATTGAGATTATGACAACACAGAAATACAGAACACGTTAATTTTCTTCTAGAACATTAGCAGAACTCAGAACTAGAGAACTCAGAACTAGAGTCAGCGAAATCCTGACCCGCAGCCAGAGGGGGAAGAGTCCCGCTGAGATGGAGCCAATTTGTGCTTTTAGCAGTTAGCTGTACTAATGCATGAGTCTCATTATTTCTTTGGGCATGTCTCTGTGTTTCTGTGCTGCACAAACTGAGAAATTAGAAGCAGACATGAGACGTCTAAACTGTGGCCACCAAATTGTTTTGGAATTAAGGACAGGAGGAATACTGGAATGCCAAAGAAAATACTTTACAGAAGCACTGACTTTTGAGCAACATGGAACTGAATAAGCATTCTGTACTTGAGGCCATTCCTGATTTATCACTGATATGACTTAAATGAGATTAGTAAGATAATGAGTTAAATAATGGGATTCTGTAACCACATTTGGAACTTATGTAAAGGTACTCAAACATGCAACAAAGTTATCGTTGGGTTTTGAGAGCTTGCAGCAGCACTGGCCAAATTCCAATGTCAGCCTAACTTCTGCCAGCAATTTGAATGGGAATGGAATTTGGCCAACTCTGAGGAATCCTGAAAATCCTACTTCTTTTATTTCTTTTTTAATTCTTTATAACATTTAAACAAGAACAAAACAAACTAAATAAAGACCAAAACTGTTTATATTGTATCCAGATGCAGCTTCTACTTAAGGAGTTCTTTCAACCTCTAGAATACACAGTACCAAGCTGTCAGAAAATTTAAGCTATAAAAATAAATACTTACTATCCTTCAATTAACCATGTACATTTAGTTTTATATTTATAATTTATAGGTCCATCTGTTAAATATCCAGAAGGTTCTGTTAACCTACAAAAGAAAAAAACAATGCTGTAATAAACCAGAGACAACACATCACAACATGCATCATGGACATGCCAATAGAATCGTTCCAAATGGAAAGAAAATTGGAGGTAAACAGTCATGTGCCTCTTCGTATTTCTTGTCACACTGTTTGTATTCATAAAAACTTGAATTCTGATTATTCTATATCAGGGATTTGCTTTCTTTCCCTAGGCAATCACAAGATTTCTATTTCTTCTAATTCAGTAGCAAGTAATTTAAATTAGCCTTCACACACAGTGGATTCGAGCCAATGTAAAGGGATTTTGTTTAAGAATATTATTTTGCTTTGATTTGCTTGTTTACTTTGCCATTGTCTTACAATTTACTGCTGAAATTAGGCATCAGAAAAGTGTTCTAGATCAAGAAAAATTAAGGCATAAATTTAAATAAGTGTATCTGTAAGCCTGTTCCTCTCTCATTCCTAGTCAGTACCCTGTCTCTTCCCAGTGGCCTACAGTGGATACCCAGGAAAGAATTTAAATCCCTCCAGATATTCCACACAGCATTACACCACCTTCAAAGACTTGCATCCTGGGGACACTCTTAGCCAGAGGCTGTGCCTTTGGGTTCATGTTTGCCCCAGGGGTTACCTGACATAAACTTGCAGCATCTAGAACATCCTGAAGGAATTATTTCCACACATATACGAGACATCTCAACATTTTTTATCCTGAGCCTACCTCTTGGTTTCATCTGATGTCCTTAGGCCTGGTATGGGATGAGGGCATGAACAATTGTAGCCTATTTACATGCTTTATCCCACTCAAAATGTAATGGTCTGCATTGTTTCCTTCCTTTCCCTCCCTAAGAAACCCTTGCTCACTGCCTTTAATGTACCTTTATTATTTCCATTTTATTCTCTATTCCCATTTAAGATTTTATTTGCTCTTTCAACAACTACCATTCTGATATTTTAAATAGAAATAGTTGTTATAACTTTTTCTCTGAGTGATAATAGATAGCTCAATATTCACATATGGAATTCATTTAATGTAGAAAGAGAACCTTTTTCATCTGTTCATATATATTACTTTGCATTAATCTATGCAGTGATAAAACAGTAGATGAAATTCAATAATCTATTAACATAAAAGCTTTCTGAAATAGCTTATTATCTTCAGCCCAGTAACTTCACTAATCCACCCCATTTTCTGCATCCTTTAAGATTATTTTTTATAGTTCAGGTCTTAACATCTCTGGTGGCCTTACTCCTCTGGGAAAACTGACCATCCTACTCTTCAAAATGTTACAACGATAACGATTAATATCAATACATACACAAAAAAGCTCATTTTTTCCCCATAGTGCTGAAGGATAATCATTAAGAATAAGTATCACTGAATAAGAAAAAAAACGGGTTTTTATTTCACTACTTTGAATAAATCAATAGAGTAGATCTAAATCCAGAGGCAGTGCTGAACAAGATGACCAAGTCACAGCTAAATTTTCTCATCAGGAGCCTAGCTGAACAGTAATTCAATATCTGCTATCCTACTATATATACACCAATTTAAAGAATATTCATTACCACATCTACTGCAAGTTATTTACACTGGAACTCATATCAAACACTAATTGCATACTTATTAACAGAGATCCAAACATAAAATTATAAACACGTGGAAATGAAACTACATCAAAAGAAGTGAGCAGGAAAGAATAATTTATGAGACATGGTCTGTGCAAACTCACATTTTTAAACAAGTTCCTTCACCTTTCCTGCAAGAACCAGCATCAGTTCGTTGGGCACATTGTTCCAGTTACTGGTGGTTTGAATTAAGATCTTTACACGCACTTTCCTTTTGGGACAAAGCTGACTAATATGGGAATTGACCAAATAACTGTACTTGAAAGATTTTAAAGGCATAAAAGCATGTTTCTGAATCAAAAAAACCCTCAAAGTTCATGTTTCTGAATCCAAACAAGAAAAGCAAGTAAACAGCTGGTAACATGAGCAACAGACTGGGAGGGGAAAATAAATAAAAACAAAAAACCCACCATATCCTCTGGTCAGCTGAGAGAAAATTTCCCTGGTAAAAACCAATGCACTGAGCTGGTCTGAGTGCTGCAGCACACCACTTCCCAAAAGCACAGTATCCTGCTAAGTGCTACACAAATTCTGGTGTCGCCCATAAGCAAAGCATGAATCAGCCAGGCATGGCTGGCCACTCACACTCCTCCCTTCCTGTATCCTGGAGGAAATGGCCAGGGAAGGGTTAACCGCACCCCTGCCAGGTGCTCTCCTTAGAACCAGGGTCTGGCCACAGAACACTTTTGCTTGAAGAGAGCAGAAGACACACACAGTTGAAGTTTATAATATTTCTTCTTGTTGAGAAGATATCAACTTTATCTAAAAGTATACATCTGTGCTTCTATACACGAGAAACAGAGTTTTCAGGGTTATTTCTGGCTTTTTTGTATCCTAATTACATTGTCTGGACAATGCTGAACACAACACCAACCCATACCTTGGATGTCTAAGCCTCACAGCACTGATTTTTGAAATCAAGCTTATATTGACACTTGGCCTCTGGCATAACCTTAGCGAGCTGATCACAGGAGCAGATCCTGTGTTTGAGTGTGTGCTAGACTGAAGTATTTTTTCCTTTTTATTTTTAAATAAAAGGCGTAAGATTCCAATAAAAGGAATTGTAGTGCTGGCACATGATTTATATCCAGAAGCAAAGTCCTATTTAGCAAGCCACAGAGCATTCATTTTCCTGGAAGAAGTGTGAAATATCACCAGTATTCATTTGCAGTCATGACCATTGCTTCTTTGTAGCTGTATAATGCAATGGAGGTGACTTACAAGAGTTGTTTTTATTAGATCAGCCCTTTGGCACCAGTAAAGTACAAACAATTTCCCTTGTCTCCTAAGCTGATAATTTTTTGATAAATAGTTTCTTTTGGAAGAGCAGATAGCCTTTGAAGCAGCTCTTGCACTTTGCTGGAAAAAGTAAATAACTAGGAGCACAAGTTTGCAATAATGGTTGTGGAAAATGGTAAGATAAGGGGCTGTTCTATTTAAAATAAACACATAGCAAGACAGATGGGAATTCTTTTCAGTTTCTTGAGTCATATCAAGAACTTTTCTGTATTATTTTTTGTTCCAAATGTTATCAAATACCAGATCCCATAAATAACCAAGATAAGCATATTACTTTCCTGTAACCTCTTAGCAAATCAAGGTCAATATTCCCTTTCATATAGAGCCAGGTATCTGTGGGCAGAGTTTTCCTCTGTGACTAGCAGTGATTCTGTCAAATAATCAAAACCCAGAGGAGTCAACAGGACTATGCACTCTTTATTCACAGAAGTGGAATAGCCAGAATGATTCCTGGATGCTCCACCTCCATCCTTGCTGAGTGCTTAGAAAGCCTCAGTGACGAGAGGAGGCCAGAACAATTTGTGTGGCCTGCTCAGGCACCACAGGTTTATCACACCAAGACTCCAGCTTTCTAAAACAAATGCACAGGGAGTACCTGATGTTGTATATTGGCATTTTAAATTGCACGCCAGCTTTCATAAACACAACAATATTGGCTTTAGTTGGCAAAGTTATAATCAAAACCGATAAAGAATTAGAGGGAGCAGGCCAAGAGAACATTTCCCATCTCTGTGTGCTGTAAAACAGACCTACCAAAGGACAGGAAGAAGTCAGGATGCTGCACAGCAGAGTTAAAGGCAACCAGAAGCACCACTGACAGTTCAGTCACTCACCAAGCTAATCAGTCAAACACGTAGCATTACAGGGTGTTTCATACAGCAGACAGATACACCAGGAATCAAAGGGCTAAATACAACACAGGGCAAACAAAATATGCAACAGAGGGCTATCTACATTCCCCTGGAATATCACCACTGCTATAAAATAATGGTAAATGGAATTGAGTTAGAATGTACAATGGGAACATTTGTATTTACCACTGCAGAGACTTTCAATCAAGACTGATGCATTTCAGGAAGAGAGAAAAGCATGTTCTAGTTCAGTCAGAAATTATTGGTCCAAAATGAAGGAGTGGTCAGATGAAATCTATGCTCCGCAAAGATGTCAGAGTAGATTATTAAAATGTCCCTTCCTGGCTGTAATATTTATAGATCTGTGAAAAACACAGGCTTGTCATCTCCTGCCTATTCCTGCAAAAAATAGTATCATCAAATCTTCCAGAGAGGGGCACTAATTTAAACCAAAGGACTCATTGGATATTTTCTGTCATCAGCAGAACATGAAGATCCACGAAACTGCTGGTAGATGGACAGAGATATATAATAGAGATACATTAAAAGAAACAAAGCATAAGGCACATTCATAATATTATAAATATTCACTATTAAAGAGAAGAAAGGGTTATGAAGACATTCACTTATCTCTATATTACTTAGTGTCACATTTCTACTGAGAATTCTATGAAATGCTGGATTACTTTGCAATTCCTACTGCAGATATATCTGAATAAAGGATATAGAGCATATTTTGCTATATGGATTCATCTCAATGCCAATATTTGTGTGTCAGTCAAGAGCTATTCTCTCCATTGCTGAAACATTTTGCTCCATCTGCTTTTCATCTTTCATGAAAATATGTTTTATTAAAAAGAAATAAAAATCAATAACTGTGCTTCAAAGTTACAAGATCAAATTCTTCTGAAATAGAAGCACTGGCAACCTTTCCAGCTCAAGCTCTTGTGCCTAACATTTACAGCAGGGAAAGAGACTGCACACATCTGAGATGAGAGCAGCTGAACATATTAAGCAAGAGGAAAAAAAAATTTAGACCACCTGACATCACAAACGTGACTCAGCGAGCACTGTGGTATCAGAAAGAAAGGCACAAGTGATGGAGAGGCCATTTCTCAAACCATAACATGAAGTGATAGACTAAGAATGTTTTCTAGTATTATTTTCAATGGAAGATCTGAAAAACATGTTCTTAAAAGCCCACCAAGCAGACTTTTATTTTCCAG